AACCATGTCTATTGGTGTATACGCATGAAGAAACTCCATGCAGATGGACCGTTTTGACTCACTTGATTTTGAATCACTTGGGACATGCAAATCATACCACATGGGCAAGATGACTGAAAAGCCTCGTTTTCAGTAAGATGGAACAAGATAGCAACTTGTTGGAAGTAATACATTTTAATGTGTACAGTCCAATGAGTGTTGAGGCATGTAGTGGATATCGTTATGTTCTTACTTCACAGATGATTCGAGTAGATGTTGAGAATATTTACTTGATGAAACACAAGTTTGAATTATTGAATGGTTCAAGTAATTTCAGAGTGAAGTAGAAGATCATTGTGACAAGAGGATAAAATGTCTATGATATGATCATAGAGATGAATATCTGAATCACGAGTTTGGCACAGAGTTAAGACATTGTGGAAATTGTTTCACAACTGATACAGCCTGGAACACCATAGTGTGATGGTGTGTCCAAACGTCATAGTTGCACCCTATTGGATATGGTGCATACCATGATGTCTCTTATCGAATTACCACTATCGTTCATGGGTTAGGCATTAGAGACAACCACATTCACTTTAAATAGGGCACCACGTAATTCCGTTGAGATGACACCGTGTGAATTATGGTTTAGAGAAACCTAAGTTGTCGTTTCTTAAAAGTTTGGGGCTGCGACGCTTATGTGAAAAAAGTTTCAGGCTGATAAGCTCGAACCCAAAGCGGATAAATACATCTCCATAGGACAGCCCAAAAACAGTTGGGTATGCCTCCTGTCTCAGATCCGAAAGCAATAAAGGATTGTTTCTAGAATCGGGTCCTTTCTCGAGGAAAAGTTTCTCTCGAAAGAATTGAGTGGGAGGATGGTGGAGACTTGATGAGGTTATTGAACCGTCTCTTCAACTAGTGTGTGACAGGGCACAGGGAGTTGTTCCTGTGGCACCTACACCAATTGAAGTGGAAGCTTATGATATTGATCATGAAACTTCGGATCAAGTCACTCCCAAACCTCGTAGGATGACAAGGATGCGTACTACTTCAGAGTGGTACGTAATCCTGTCTTGGAAGTCATGTTGCTAGACAACAATGAACCTACGAGCTATGGAGAAGCGATGGTGGGCCCGGATTCCGATAAATGGCTCGAGGCCATATAAACCCGAGAGAGGATCCATGTATGAAAACAAAGTGTAGACTTTGGAAGAACTACTTGATGGTCGTAAGGCTAGTGAGTACAGATGGATTTCAAAAGAAAGACGGACAATGATGGTAAATATCACCATTAAGAAAGCTCGACTTGTCGTTAAGAAGTTTCCCGACAAGTTCAAGGAGTTGACTGCGATGAGACTTTCTCACTCGTAGCGATGCTAAGAGTCTGTTGGAATTATATTAGCAATTACTGCATTATTTATGAAATCTTGCAGATAGGATGTCAAAACATTGTTTCCTCGATGATTCTTGAGGAAAGGTTGTATGTGATACAACCGGAAGGTTTTGTCTATCCTGAAATATGCTAATAAGTATGCAAAGCTCCAGCAATCCTTCTGAGGACTGGAGTGAGCATCTCGGAGTTGGAATGTATGCTTTGATGATGATCAAAGATTTTGGGTGTATACAAAGTTTATGAGAAACTTGTATTTCCAAAGAAGTGAGTGGGAGCACTATAGAATTTCTGATGAGTATATGTTGTTGACATATTGTTGATCAGAAATGACATAGAATTTCTGGAAAGCATAAAGGGTTATTTGGAAAGTATTTTTCAATGGAAAACCTGGATTAAGCTACTTGAACATTGAGCATCAAGATCTATAAGGATAGATCAAAACGCTTAATAGTACTTTCAAATGAGCACATGCCTAGACGTGATCTTGAAGGTGTTCAAGATGGATCAATCAAAGAAGGAGTTCTTGCCTGAGTTGTAAGGTATGAAGTTAAGACTTAAAGCTCGACCATGGCAGAATAGAGAGAAAGGACTAAGGTCGTCCCCTATGCATAAGATGTAGGCTCTACAGTATGCTATGCTGTGTACCGCACCTGAAGTGTGCCTTGCCATGAGTCAGTCAAGGGGTACAAGAGTGATCCAAGAATGGATCACAGGACAGCGGTCAAAGTTATCCTTAGTAACTAGTGGACTAAGGAATTTTCTCAATTATGGAGGTGGTAAAAGAGTTCGTCGTAAAGGGTTACGTCGATGCAAGCTTAACACCTATCCGGATAGCTCTGAGTAGAGATACCGGATACGTATAATGGAGCAACAATTTAGAATAGCTCCAAGTAGAACAGTTATTTGGAATAGCTCCAAATAGAATGTGGTAGCTGCATCTAGGAGATGACATAAAGATTTGTAAAGCACACACGGATCTGAAAGGTTCAGACCCGTTGACTATAACCTCTCTCACAAGCATAACATGATCAAACCCAGAACTCATCGAGTGTTAATCACATGGTAAATGTGAACTAGATTATTGACTCTAGTAAACTCTTTGGGTGTTAGTCACATGGGGATGTGACCTTGAGTGTTAATCACATATCGATGTGAACTAGATTATTGACTCTAGTGCAAGTGGGAGACTGTTGGAAATATGCCCTAGAGGCAATAATAAATTGATTATTATTATATTTCCTTGTTCATGATAATCGTTTATTATCCATGCTAGAATTGTATTGATAGGAAACTCAGATACATGTGTGGATACATAGACAGCACCATGTCCCTAGTAAGCCTCTAGTTGACTAGCTCGTTGATCAATAGATGGTTACGGTTTCCTGACCATGGACATTGGATGTCGTTGATAACGGGATCACATCATTAGGAGAATGATGTGATGGACAAGACCCAATCCTAAGCCTAGCACAAGATCATGTAGTTCGTATGCTAAAGCTTTTCTAATGTCAAGTATCATTTCCTTAGACCATGAGATTGTGCAACTCCCGGATACCGTAGGAGTACTTTGGGTGTGCCAAACGTCACAACGTAACTGGGTGGCTATAAAGGTACACTACGGGTATCTCTGAAAGTGTCTGTTGGGTTGGCACGAATCGAGATTGGGATTTTGTCACTCCGTGTAAACGGAGAGGTATCTCTGGGCCCACTCGGTAGGACATCATCATAATGTGCACAATGTGACCAAGGGGTTGATCACGGGATGATGTGTTACGGAACGAGTAAAGAGACTTGCCGGTAACGAGATTGAACAAGGTATCGGTATACCGACGATCGAATCTCGGGCAAGTACCATACCGCTAGACAAAGGGAATTGTATACGGGATTGATTGAGTCCTTGACATCGTGGTTCATCCGATGAGATCATCGTGGAACATGTGGGAGCCAACATGGGTATCCAGATCCCGCTGTTGGCTATTGACCGGAGAACATCTCGATCATGTCTGCATGTCTCCCGAACCCGTAGGGTCTACACACTTAAGGTTCGATGACGCTAGGGTTATAAAGGAAGCTTGTATGTGGTTACCGAATGTTGTTCGGAGTCCCGGATGAGATCCCGGACGTCACGAGGAGTTCCGGCATGGTCCGGAGGTAAAGATTTATATATAGGAAGTCCTGTTCGGCCATCGGGACAAGTTTCGGGGTCATCGGTATTGTACCGGGACCACCGGAAGGGTCCCGGGGGCCCACCGGGTGGGGCCACCTGCCCCGGGGGGCCACATGGGCTGTAGGGGGTGCGCCTTGGCCTACATGGGCCAAGGGCATCAGCCCCAAGAGGCCCATGCGCCAAGAGAAGAAAAAAAGGGGAGAGTCCTAAAGGGGGAAGGCACCTCCGAGGTGCCTTGGGGAGGATGGACTCCTCCCCACCCTTAGCCGCACCCTTCCTTGGAGGAAGGGGCAAGGCTGCGCCCTCCCCCTCTCCCTTGGCCCTATATATAGTGGGGAAAGGGAGGAGCAATCATACCTAAGGCCTTTGGTTGCCTCCCTCTCCCTCCCGTGACACATCTCCTCTCCCGTAGGTGCTCGGTGAAGCCCTGCAGGATTGCCACGCTCCTCCATCACCACCACGCCGTTGTGCTGCTGCTGGATGGAGTCTTCCTCAACCTCTCCCTCTCTCCTTGCTGGATCAAGGCGTGGGAGACATCGTCGAGCTGTACGTGTGTTGAACGCGGAGGTGCCGTCCGTTCGGCACTAGGATCATCGGTGATCTGAATCACGACGAGTACGACTCCATCAACCCCGTTCACTTGAACGCTTCCGCTTAGCGATCTACAAGGGTATGTAGATGCACTCTCTTTCTACTCGTTGCTGGTCTCTCCATAGATAGATCTTGGTGATTCGTAGGAAAAAATTTTGAATTTCTGCTACGTTCCCCAACAGGTTCATCGGTGGGGGAAATGGTAAGATTGACTGGTGTGCAGATGTGTTGATGGCTGAAGCTTTGGCGTTAAAATTTGGCCTATCGCTTGCACAAAGGACGGGTTGTAATCGCATAATTATTAACTCGGATAATATGGAGGTGATCGAGATCATGAACAAAGGAGGACGATCTTCGGGGGCAGCAGCTGCAATTTTTTATGACTGTTTTCACTTAGCTTGCAATTTTCCTATTTCTAGATTTGAGCATTGTAATATAGAAGCAAATAAAGTCGCTCATGAACTTGCCAAGTTGGCTAGATTTTCATTCATTTCTAATTGGTTTGAGGAACCACATAATGCAATTGTACCAATCCTCATAAACGATGTAATGATTATTTCTAATGAATAAAGCTCGAACTTTCTTTCAAAAAAAACTGAACAGATGAAATTGCACCACTAATCTGGAACAATAACCACTTAAGCAAAAGGAGTCCCAAGGGGGTGGTTCCCCATGATTTCTTTTTAGATGATGCAAAAAAATTAATCAGTTCCAAAATGATTAAGGCGCTTATATCACATTACAGAGTCTAGGAAACCTAGCCTCAGGAACTAGGATAATGGGTTACCAACACAACATCTACACAAAGTGCAGAAGATGACCTTCAGTCTAATCACTAATCATGTAAGATGAGACCGGATTCGCTCATATCTCGCTAAGGTACTCTAGAAGAGATTCGACCTCTTGCCTCAGCGCAGCGATCTTCTGCTGCTGGGAGGAAATCCGGTTTTCTATGTCTTGCCCGCGCTGCTTCTTCTCGACGCTGTCAACCACGGTGGCATGCCTCGCCATGAGCTTCTCCTGCATCTCCCTCTCCTTCGCAACCAAGTCCTCTAGCTGCAGCAACAATGCACAAAAAGTATGATTTATTTTTGGTAATCAGAATAAATGCGGAAAGGCGGTCAAGATTCAGATTGCACGACATGGCAAGGTCAGATATGTTTCTCAATTTCTTTTTTTTATATACGACATAAATGCAGTCGCAGAAGTTTGTTGAGCAAACCTTTGGCCATATCTGATAAGACTGAGGGGATGACTGTACAGATAACAACAGCGGCTTCAGCTCTTTCGCTAATTCCTTAAACTGTGCATCAGCGGCTTTACGAGCTGCTTTGCAAGATTTAGCGTCTCCAGACCTAGACAAATCGTGCAATGATGTCTCTAGCTTATCATGAACAGCTAAGCACTGGTGAAAGATGCCCTGGATTTGCTGAACAGTGGCTTGCACCTGCACCAGGAGAACAAAAGAGCCATCAGAAATCAGCACTGCACGATACTTAAGTTATATGATCAAAACAGTACAGAAAAAACTGCACAAAGATGACAACAAACTCTTTATTTACAAGGAAAAAAACATTATTCATTATTCCAACACATAAACTTAAGGTCAATCCGGTTTAGGAAGTGGTCATGTCTCCTACCTACTAATCGTTGGGTTCAAATTTGATCTGCAATAATAATATTTTCCATGGCTTTTCAACTAGATGCTTGTTTTCTTTATATTTTAAGAAACTTGATGTTCAGTTCCAGTTAACTTATCAAACTGGCCTTGCCCTTCTAGCACCCTGAACTTTCACTAGTGTTTTATTACAGTTCATTTTATTTATTCCATCATAAAGGTTCTGGGCTAGTGATTCAGAAAGTAGTTTGGCACTTCCCCAAACATTTCTTAGAATAATAACCCTGCCTGCAGCATGGCCCTCAAATCCCAATGCCACCATAACAAATATCACAGCAGTAGAACTAGACTAAACAACCTTTTGGGAAATCATCCAGTCCTTCAATGCTTTCCTAGTTATAAGTTATTACATTGCTCCACAAATATTTGTCACCTTCTGAGTTGTAAGTTAACTTTGTACTCCCTCTGTTCGAAAATAAGTGTCTCAACTTTAGTACAAAATTATACTCCCTCCGTTCGTTTTTATAAGGCGGTTTAGACAGCTGGTTTTGAACTGTTTAGAGCACTGTCTGAACAGGCTTAAACGTCTTATATAAGTGAACAGAGGGAGTACTAAAGTTGAGATACTTATTTTGGGACGGAGGGAGTATATTTTTCCTGAGTCCTTGATCCAAATAATTTGGAGAGGATTGAGGCTTAAAGTAATTGTACCTCATCCCATTGCAGCTTTGCCAGATAAGAAGGAGAGTTCTTAGAGATTGACATGTCAGTGTGCATGTAGGCAATACATGCAACAAACAGGAGGAAGAAGCCAGTAATCAACATCATCGGCTCTATAAGCAACGAGATGTTATTGAATTTGTAGTACACCTGCGCAAAGGAAAAAAAATGTTAGCTACAGTTCACAACTTCACATAAAACACTGCTTAGGTATCAGTATACACAAACAACTCACAGAAAGCATTGTTGATAACTAGCAGCTTTAAGTATTGTTTCATGTGATAAGAACTAGTCTTATAATCCTTTTACAGATTATTTATTCAGTTTGACAAATAATTTACACAGTTTACAATTTTCATCGTGCAAGTGTGCAAACTACTGGCACAACAATAGTTCTGAAGACAAACCTGGAAATGCAAATTATGCTCTGGAATAACATCAGGCTTTTCCAAGACAAGAACTGGCCTTCCAGCAATGTCAAGGTGTGAATACTTCACCTGCACCACACATCACTTTTGTTACAACGATGAATAGGATGAACTAGTTATTCAGTTATATATCATCCAACGGGGGATCACCTCTTGCCATTGATTTGTTGGAAATGGAGCTGAAACATCAATATCCTTTGAACCTTCAGGTAGAACCACCTGTCCGAAAAGAAAGATATATACAAGTGTAAGAGGGAAGTAATGCAAAATTATTCACATTACTGGAAGCGCCTGCGCAGATAAAATCAATAGTGATTGATGTCAAGTTCAGGGAAACATGGCCAAATTGATATTTTCATGTGTGTTAAGAGGATCTAAAGCTTGGGGCTTTCCTAAATAAGTACTGATTTTATGTCAATACCAAAGAAATAGTCAAATGATATGAAAATTAGGTCTGGTACAGTGGAACTCAATAGATCAAAGAAAAGGGGGGAAATGAAAACCCATATTCCTGATGATACTGGTTTGATGCAACTGACCGCATACCTTTACGATGAGCTTTTCTATGAGAATCTCCTCCATTGGAGAACCAAATGTGATATTGAGAAATCTCTTTCCATCAGCACTGAAAACAAAGTCTTGAAGAGGTAAACCATAACCAATAGTAAAGGTTGTTTGCCAACCACCAAACAAGGGAAACCTCGGTTCAATTTCCAGTTGGGTCTGCAATAAGATTGTTGGACATGTAAAAGCATTCAACATACATGAGTTGCGCTTTTGTTGGGAAATTTAACCATAACAAATGAAATAAATAGCAGCAGTACCTTCTTCGAATCACTCCATAAGTGTGATGTTGAAATATTACCGATTTCATCTCTGTAATAAATAGAGTGGGCCCTTGCAGGCAATCTAGCAATGAGATGCCTAAATGATGAAACCCCTCTTGCATAAGGTCTAGACTGGTAGTCAAGCCTACAAACAGAAAAACAGAATTAGATATTTCTGGTCATGACTTCTCAACGCACGTACAAGTTAAGCTACTTAAAACAAAAAAATTGAACAGAGATAAACCTGGAGAATTCACCCTTCAGTCTGGCACCACCATGAACAATGTTGTAATGTTCTGTAATCTGTACATTGCCCCAGTGAGATATCTCAATCTCCCTTATAAGCTCCTTTGCAACTGCAAATGGGTTGTTGTTCTCAAAGTGCACAATAATAGGGTTGTAGGAAAACGGGAGAACATCTTCATACGGTCCATATTTAAGCTCGGAATCCACAAGTTTTGTGTTTCCATATTTTGTGTATGATTCAACCCTTCCACCAGGCAATCTGATACTAAGCGTCTGGACTTTAACAGGGTAAGGGGACAGATAGTGAGAACTATCCTGAAAGACAACAAGCTGCGAATCGGCTTGGGTGATCTCTTCTGGGAACGGCTGGAGAAAGTGTGTAAATACAGTCAAGACATCTAAGTGAAGAATCTTCCCCTTTGTCAAAGGTTTGTGTAACGATGCTGAAAAGAAGGTTAGTTCTGGGGGAACACCAGAAGGCTCAACAATTTCAATCGGAAGAATACTACTGAGACCCTTCACTTTTCCCTCGGTACCGAATGCTCTGATCGCTGCCAGGTTTTTTGCTTGGATGTTGGGAAAAGCCAGTAAGACTTTGGAGACAGGCTCCGAGCCAGCATTTTCAACCTGAAATCAATGGGTATATAAGTAACATCAGCATTCCGACGTGACAAATAGCACAAACAGATTATTAGAATAACGCTGGCAAGAAACATGTGCACTTCACAACGGAATAATTCTAGTTAATGCTACTTAAGGATTTTAGATATATAGCCCCTATTACCGATATTCTAATACAGTGACCTATTTTGCATTCTGGTAAAAATATTCACGGCTGAGACCGTACGTTTCTCAGTTCTGAGAATATGTTTGTGGATACTGGTGACCATTGAGGCAGTGCCCATTAGCATGAAGTAACGAAGGCCTCAGATTCATGAAATGCTCACTACATGAACCACATCGCAGCATGTCAATCAGGCAAACGTGACACGCACAAAAGCATTACCACTCCCTCCGTCTGACAATATAAGAGCGTTTTTGACACTGACACTACACTAGTGTCAAAAGCGCTCTTATATTGTGTTGGGACGGAGGGAGTACTTGTGTAGGTTAACAGGATGGAACACTGAGCTGGACGACTAAATTCAATTCCCACAGCAGGAGTAGAGCGCAACAGCGTACCTTGAGCGAAGTGAGGACGCGGACGATGTGCGAAGTCAAATCAACCTGCAACGCGAGAGAAGATCACAAACGACCATCAGATCCGAGACGTCAACAGCGGCGGGTGCTGAGATCTGAGGAGCGGGCGTGGGGAGTGGGGAGGGCACTGACCTTCCGATCCGCCCTGGAGATGACGAGATCGGCGCGCGCGGCGGAGGCGAAGACGGCGACAACGACGACGAGGAGCGCGGCGAGGCGGAGCGGAGGCGCCATGTTCGGCGGCCAGATCGCGTCGCGGGCGTTGGTTTCGCGGCGAGATGGGGTTGGACCTGAGCAAGAAAGGCTTTAAACCCTCGTCGGGCTCGGTCGGACTCGGACCCGTGTGCCCGTGGGAGAAGACAAGAGTATGACGTGTGTGTAGCCGAGATTTTGGGTGGTGCGACCGGACCACTTTGCTGCGACTTCCGACTGGCTATCCGGTCTGGCTCCACCGGTTCACCGTCTCTCTCCCCCCTCTCTCGCATCGCTACCTCCGCCGGCGTCGCTCCCATCTCCGACCCCCCGGTGCGGCGGCGGTCCGCAGCCTCTGTCGCGCGCCGCTGTAGGCCTCGCCGTGGGAGATAGAGTAGGCGCGCGCCGCCTCGACGGCCTCCTCGCTCCTCCGCGGCTACCACGACCTAGCTCGCCGTCGGTCAGCACCAACAATCCCACCTCGTAGACAGACCAGACTCTCCACGCGCGGCCCCGCCATGGGCGCCGAGGTCGCCCAGATCAGCGCCTTCACCGCCGCAGCCGCCCACGCGCTCTGCCTCGCCGGCCTCGCGGCCGTCCACTTCCTCGCCGGCCGCGGCGCCCTCGTCTCCGACCCCGCCCACGCGCTCCGCCTCCTCGTGGTATGCTCCCTTCCCCACTTCTCACCCCAACAACGCTTCCCACGTGTCTTCTGACACGGATGGATGCTTTTTCTGTAGGTCTGTGAGGCGCCGCTTGTCATCGTGGTGTTCAGTCTGCTCCGGCGAGATCCCAAACGCTGCTCGGTTTGTTGCATCAACTGTTTCTTCCTGTTCCCATACCAACTTCATATATTTTGTTCAGTGATATAAGGTGATTTTGTTTCTTCGATTGCAGTTCCTTAAGGCCGCTGCACGGGGATTGCTTGGCTTGCCCATAGGTCAGTTCTCCTTGCTGCGTTTGCACTTTGATCCATTGCGTTTGCGCAAGGCGAGACTTCTATCCGGTGTGAAGAATATGGTGCTCGTAGGATATCACGCGTTGAAAAACCTCAATGCTGAATCTGAATCATTAGCTAGTACTGACGACTTAGTAATATATGTTGATCTGCTCTTTGGAATAGCAAGAGGCCAAGCTGAGTTAGTATGTTAGGACCTGCCTGTCTTTCTGCTTTTCATTTATTTATCATTATGATACATGCTTCTCTCTGCCAGGGGCATTCCTAAATGCATTTGGTGCAATTGTTCTTGGCGCACCTGTTGGAATCAAGTAAGTTCCCACTGACAAGGTCATGTATGGTTGTTAGTCCCCGTGATGCACGCTAATTAGGAGTCATCACTAGAATAACCATGTACACTGTTAGTTGAACATTAGTTTTTTTATAATACCTCATCTGACGGGGTTGCACAAGGATATGTCAATTTAAACATAAAAGACTCATACCAACAATGATTTGTCCTTCGTCAAAAACTAATGCCTTGTCTGATGAAATTTTCACATTTTTAGGTACTGGATAGCGACAATCTATTGGTCAAGTCTTATGTCCCTGTTCACTGTAAGTGGCATTTGCTGTGCTTTTACTTATTCTTGAATGAGTACTTCAGCACAACAAGATTGACAACTGAAAAATATTAGACTTGCTGGTCTTGTGCTCATTCTTCTTTGCGGTTACTATCTCCGTAAGTAAATATAAGATGTTTTTGCAGTTCAATTCGTAACTAAATATAAGACGTTTTTGCAGTTCAACACGTGGCATTATTTACTATAATGTACTTATATTTAGTTAGAGGTAGTATTATTTACTATAATGTACTTGCATAACTGAGGCATGACAAGCTAAACGCGTGGCATTGCAGTTTGTTCCAGCAGCATGTGTCTTTGGAGCATCCAAAGTGGATTGGCAGAATGCGCTTTCTCATTCTATGTATATTCCTGAATCCTAAATAAGTGCTATTGTGATGAGTTCATTCCATAGAGAGTTTTTATTGTCATTGCCCTGTGCTTACTGATACTTTAGTTGATTTGTGTTTTTGTATGTCAGTTATTGCACATCATCCAATGTTGTGGACTACATGATCTCTGTGCCTTCTCATGGAGCTGTAATAGGAGCGTGGTTTGGTGCTTGGCCTATGCCCCTTGACTGGGAGAGATCTTGGCAGGTAAAGATACTGACTCTGACTTTTTTTGAATACCTATGGGACGACCGGACGAGTATCATGAAAGACAGGATCTCGTAGAGATGTTTATGCATATCCAGTAGGTAACATGATAACTTAAAGACTAGCTCGTGGACTAACTATTCAGAGTGGTGATGCAAAATGCATTAGTTTGTCTGATGCTCTCTCGTGTGTCGAATGCTGCTGTTGGAACTAGTCTATATTACCACCCCCATTTTTTTTTCCATGCATTCTACTTCCTCCGTTCCTAAATATAAGTCCTTTTAGAGATTTCAATACGAACTACATACGGATGTATATAGACCCACTTTAGAGTGCAGATTCACTTATTTTGCTCCTTTATGTAGTCTATATTGGAATCTCTAAAAAGACTTATATTTAGGAATGGAGTGAGTATTTTCAATGTAGTATTTAGCGGCACATGGATGAGACTTCCTCTTCTGTGCCTTACAATTGACTGTCTGCTCTTATTGTCCCCACCTTTGCTTTGCAACTCATGTCTCTTTCCTTTTATCTTTCTTAGGAATGGCCAATATGTGTCACTTATGGCGCAATTGCTGGGCATGTGATTGGCATGTTAGTATCGCTGATCCTCATAGTTGCTCACAAGAGAAGAGCTCGTGTCAAGGCTGACTAGCCTATGGATGATGAATACCTTTTTTCCTTTAATGATTTACGCAGGTTATACTATAGATTGTTTCTTCCCAAAAAGCAATGTACTTTTGGTTAGATTTCCAGTTGAGTCAATGTACTGGTGCCTTCCAGTAGCTTGATACGTGTATTACATTAGTGGCACTCTTTTACCTTTTTGGGGCTGAAGATTATTTTCTTCAGAGCTCTTTCTTATGTTATGAGACTGATTGCCATTTGGTATTTTTTAGAGATGAGAGGGTTTTTGTTTGTGCTTAGCAGGTTAAATTTTTTGACTCAGTAAAAATTTGTATTTCTTATTGTACGAATCATGACATCCTATGTTGGCTATACATTGGACTAACATCAATACAGAAACTTGTCTCATCCCTGGCTGAAGGAAAAATCTGCGCTGGGAATGTCGACATCGAGTGCCGACGACGAGACCGACCTTCTCCTGTCAGCAGGATTTAGTCTGTGCACTGGATGCGCCACCACAACCGGGTACATGTCCCTAGCCTCCTCCATGGCCCTTGGCGAGGTTGGCGTGCTCTGGGGATCGTCGGACCGTCCCATGCCCTTGTGAAGCAGGTGCACTGGCGACGAGCCCCGGCTAGGCATGGGCGACGCCCCTCGGCTGGGCGTCGCGTCGCCGATCATCTGCGCCATCAGCATGTCCGTGTCTCGGACCTTCTTCTTCTCCTTGGCCGTGTTCCGCCAGTTTGTCAGCGCCTTGGCCGTCTGCTCGTCGAAGATGGACCTCTTCATGTTTGATCCCATCTGCAACCCATCACACCGATTACATGATTAAGGCTGCTGTTTCTCCTCTCCCAGAGCAATTGTTCAGACATCTTCATCAACGGCTTTATTACCTGTGTGACGAGCGCGTAGAGCGGGAAGGTGATATAGCTGCAGAGGAACTGAAGAGCCAGCCCCAGCACGACCTTCATGATGCTCAGCCCGATGTGCATATGGAAGCATTTCTTCAAGCCGGGCGTGGCCTACGAACAAGTAAATCTCCGTCAGTGCAGTTCATCAGCACTACTTGGTGCCTTGCATCCCTAACTGAACTGCCAATTACTGGTGCATACCACTGTCCACACGAAATGTGCCATCTGAAACGCGTTCTGGAATAGCGTCAGGTGTATGAAGAAGAGGACCCAGTCGGGGCGGTGGAACCAGAAGAACTTGTTGCTGGGCTCAACCACGGGCGCCCCCTTGATGACGCTCGCCCGGTCCTGGATCTCCAGGGCCATCTCCATGATGATCATCTCCAGCTTGGTTCCAACACACAAGAGGATCTGAGAAAGACAAGGCAGACAATGACATTTTCAATTAAGGTGTGGTTTCGCATTGCAATCAAATGGGGCTGGCTGTTGCTTTCGACGGAGAAATTCGCACTTACGACGAGAGGGATGAAAGAAATCCAGGTGAGCGTGCCGATCCCTGCCAGCAGAAAGAAGGGGAAAAGAAAGGTTAGAAAATGAACGGTGGTTACGAGACAAATTACAAGTGTTTTAGCAAGGTCCATACCGTCAATGTCAAGGAAGAGGGTGAGGATCGCCACACACCACAGCGGGAGGCTGCGAAAAGAGGCCAAATGTGTCAAGATCACGCAAGGAAGACCAGCAGGAGCAAAGACCATGACGCAGCAAACTGATAGTATTGTATCATGTGGAACTTAAGCAATATCATATGGAGCCTGGCGGCAATTGTATAGTCGTATCCATGGAATGTTGTAAGCTACCTGATGCCAACGACGACTTTGAAGTCGTCCTCCATGGACCTCTTGATGTACTTGTGGAAGTCGAACTTGCTGTTATGCGACAAATGCGCCTGCGCGGAATCGTGGAAAGAGAAGACATGAGATCATTTGTGTCGGAAATATACTTATTTCAGAAGCGTCGCGGCAATGGCTGACGGAGCTAGAAGGAGGGGGGCTTTTTTTGGTTGTACGTACGTTGATGAAGCCTGCCCTCAAGGTGAGGTAGTCCACCTTGGTGACCGACCTGAAGAACTGCCTGAAGAAGGCCACCACCCATCTGACGCCGGGGGTGCTGGAGAGGCCCAGGTGCCGCTTCACGAACGACGTCTGGTGCGTGAAGCGGAACCGCGCAGGATCTGGAAGCACGGGAAAGAGAGAGAAAACATGTCATCAGTTCACTCCTCTGATCGTGCCTGCCTGCGTGCGTTTGTAAATGCATCAATCAGGTTCCATTTCGGAAATTGTCTGACCATTTGCGAACTGGTATTCCAGGGAGGCGGTCTCTGTCTCCCATTTCTTCCAGGTTCTCATCTGCAGCAGGAAAGAAGAGTACGCCGGGGCAGGTTAAGGATGGGTGGTAGCAGTTTTACCGAGGACAGACGCGCGGTAAAAAAGAAAGAAAGAAAGAAAGAAAGGCTCACTTTGAGACGGCTTAGAGCCATGATGATGACGCTGTAGGTGACATGGAAGACGGCGAGCACGAAGATGAATATGTGCAGCTGGTGCAAGCTGCCCGTGGACATGAGCGACACCTTGCCCTGCCAGAAAAGCACACACCACACCAGTTAGGCCAAGCCAATCAGGAAGAAAACAACAAGAAGAAACTCCGGCCGGCCGGAATTTGTTTGTGTTTTTGTTCCGGCTCCGACAGGCTCACCTGTTTGGCGCAGTAGTAGTCTTTGTACTTGCTCTTGACGGAGCCAGGGGGCAGCTTGCAGGGCCGCATGATGCTGGCGGCCTTCTCGGAGATGCATATCCCGGAGATGGGGTCCTGCGTCACGGCGAGCAGCAGCGAGATGAAGCCCACCAGCATGAGCTCCGCCTTGATCTTCTCCAGCGCCTCCGCCAGCGCGTTCTTGTGCCGCTTGTGGAACCACTGCTTACACACGCCAACAAGGAGGAAGCCATGAGCTGAGTCTGACTGGGGCAGACACTCATTTACTTTTTCCGGGAAGGAACTTACATGGCCGAGCTTATGGAGCGCGTGCTCCAGGAGGACGGACACGATGATCATGACGGCGAAGACGAGGGCCACCGCCCAGGACGGCGTCTCCGGCAGCGTCCTCGCTGGGGGGTACTCGTCGTCGTCCGCCATCGGTCCCCGAGCGCAACCTCTTTCCTTGTCCGGAGACCCAGCCGCCGGTCGTCTGAGCCAACGAGGTACCTACCTGGCCGGGTATCTATTCTACGTGGCCGGCCGGCCGGAGCAAGAAAGGAAATGGAAAGCGTACGTACGCAGGTACGTTGTGTGTTGGCGAAGTGTGGGCGTGGCAACCGGGTGGGAGGGAGCTGCCGCGCGGGGCCTTTTATCGGCGCGGCGCGGGCGCGCGGCGGCCGGGTCAAACCGCGTGCGTGCGCGCCTGCGCGCCGGCCGGGTGGCTCGGCAGCGGCGCGCTGCGGAGCGGGAGACCTGCCTAGAGCTGATACGAATGTCGAGTGGCGGGTTTCGGCTGATACGAGCTATGTTTCCTTTTTTTTTTTGTTTGAGGGATCGAGCTATGTTTCCTAGCGCGAGGTTGGACGGGGTGGTTGATCCAGTGATGGCACTCTGGGTGCTCGGCCGGCACCGGGCCGGGGCGAGGGGGAACACCCGGTCGGTCCCGTAGTATTTTCTGACAGAGACGGTCACTTTACTTGTAGTATTATTTCTCAAAAAATACTAGTAGTATTTTTTTTCTATTTTTTCCTTTAGGGAATCCGTAGTATTATTCTTGACTACTCCCTCTGTTCCTAAATACTCCTATATTTCTTTTTAGAGATTCCAACAAAAAACTACATACAGAGCAAAATAAGTGAATATACACTTAAATTTTGTCTATATACGTCCGTATATAGTTTATAGTAAAATCTCTAGAAAAACTTATATTTAGAAGCGGAGGGAGTAGTTTTTTTTTGTTCTTGTTGCCATCGTTTGACTAGTATATCTATATCTGGCCATAGTTTTGTCCCGCGTAGGTAAGGTTACTTGGAGATACTCCTAGCTAAGCAGGACAAAAGCCGACGCGTCTGGCTAGCTTGCTGGTTATCGGGATCATCAACGCGGGCGGAGAAAAAAAACTGACGTTAAATTAGGACGGAGAGTTCGTTGGACCGGCAAGGAAACGGCAAATGTGCTGCCCCGTTTCTTGGGGAATCGAATTGTGTGACGTCGGATCACTTTCGTTGGGTTGATTGATTTGATGCTGCTCGATCGGAGACCCGTTCGCGCCAAAGTTTTACGTGGAGAAAATGACGCGAAACATGTATTGTGCGCGTGAGAAAGGTAAGGTAAAACGAACACGGGTTTACGGACCACGGTTACACGTAGCCACACGTTGGTAGAGGCGAGAGGTCAACGCGACTGACTGTTCCCGCCGGCGAGCCGCGCGTCGGGTGGTGGATCAGGTCGCCGGCGCCTGGTAGGCAGGGGCGTGGCACCTTCGAGCGGGTCGGGCTCGTACCCAGACGGTCGAAACATTCACCGGCCGGGACGTGCGTGCACGATGGCTAGCCTGGTGCTCCCATCGAGTTAGTTTTTCATACGGAGAGCCATTGTTAATCGCCAGCGGTTGACGTGAGAGTAATTGCTAATTGGACAAGCATAGAGTATTGCTGCATGTATTCCTGTTTTGGACTTGATTAATGGGGACGGAGAATCTGTTGGGACGGACCAAACGATCGAAAAGGGCAAAACTGTGCCCGCCTTGCCTCTTCCCCGGCCGAGAAAAACGATGGGTCGATCGATCGAATTGTGTGACGTCCGACTTCCTCCATGCTTCATTTCGAAGCATGAATGGGTTTTTTTTTTTAAATGGAACACCCAGATTCCATAAATCACACGGGCGCAGGCAAAACGCTGGCCATCTGAACGTTTACATCATCAGGTAGGTCATCAGCCCAAACTTGCCGGACCATCAGTCGGCTGGCACCGTATGCCGCTAGAGCATGCGCTAACTGTAGTTTACGACGTTATATATAAACATGTACTGTACGACGTGGACGTGAAAGTTACTTAATGGTTCTTGTAAGCCCTGCTGCATGCGCACGTTTATATTTAGCCAAAGCGTGCACGGTTCCGTCACTGCAGGCAAACGGGCCCGTCACGTATACGTGGCGCACTCCTGCTCGCTTGTGGTCTCGTACTGTGCCAAGCAAGTTGCGACGACTTGCACACGTCGGTCGACGTGGCATCCCAAGTTTGACTGCTCATGGTCGGTCCCCTGCGTGGAGAAGTCGACCACGCCGCTCCGGCGAAGTGGGCGTTTCAACCAGTGGAGTACGGGCCTGATGGAGCGGGTCAAGTCAAATGGAGCGTTGACTGCATTTGTGTGGCTGCTACTTTTTTGCGGACTTGTATATGCAGGAAGGATATACTATTCTTAGCAGCGGTCCATCCATGTGATCAGTGATCTGCTGCTAGTATAGTGCTTAAACGGACGAGATCAAGTCACTGGTCGCCGAATTAACGATCGGATCCGGACCGTTTCTTCTGATCGGGGAAAGTTAATGGCAGGTTTGAATTTCAACGAGGCGAGATGATTTGGCCTAGCCGGTACCTTTGTAGTAGTACTAATCAGCCTCTGTTTATGTGGCTACTAGGTGCAATCCGAGATGCATGCATGGAGATCTGCTTGACGGCACACCCTGATGGGATGGATGGGCCCGATCCACTAATATAAGGTGACGGTTCGTTGCTCGTTCCTGTAGTTGACGCTACTGGTTCATGAATGGAAGGAAGCTCAGGGTACACTGCTTTGACATTGCTCATTTTTTTATGCGCGCCATCCTCATCCGGATCTTATCTCATGCGCGCAACCGCACAAATATAGTAGCACAAGAATGTGTCTTTCTTGGCTGATGATGGTCCGGCGGCGGCTGCTTACCAAGAGATCAAGCCCATGAAACGGTGCTCAGTCTTGTCTCGGCGACTTTGCACTTGCAGCGCTGCCCTCGTGTGACCAATATGCATGGTCCTAATATATATAGCAGCAAATGAACAAGCAAGGTTGTCAGAATCGCGATTATGTTGTACGATTCTACGATTTTACGATTCAAACTAACCCCTCTGATTTTATGATTTTGGTTCATAGAATCTACGTTTTCACGATCCTGATAGTGAAGATTCTATGATTTGTGATCCTGCCATTGGAGCTCCGATCCGATTCAGAATCGCGATTCTGACAACCTTGTGAACAAGCATCTTGTGAGATAAAACGAGACTAGAACAAATCATGAGGAACGACCAAGTTAATGAGTCCGGGCCATATGCTTCTGTTATGAGCAGTGGATTGAAATCAAAGCAGAAATGTCATGGCATTCTGGAATCTATGCTAGTAAATCATAATATTTTTTTATTGGCAAGTAGCCAGAACCCTAAACAGACATGCTGAATCTAGTGGCTCCTCAGAATTTATGATGATGTGGAGGTTTCCTCTAACCTGCTCTGTGCCCAGTCATGTACGTACTGTTTCACAACTTGTGTGTGCTGTGGGCACCCAAAACATGCCTGTCATGTTGTTTATGGCTAGCTATACATGATCAAAGCCCTCGCGAAATAAAAGAGCTACGGGGGAATCACTTTCGTGTCATTGTCCTACTCTCTGATTTGCGTTGAATTTCGTATTACTAGCTCTGAGAATTTAAGATGTGATGTGAGGGTTTCCGGGATTTTTCTATTTCTTGTGCTTATCTTCACTAGAACTGTAGAAGCGAGTCCAGCAGATCGCATGTGTACAAGGTTTTTTTGGGCACCAGTACACCACGAATGTGTGCCGTTGTTCATGAGTATACTACCTTGCGGCCGCCAGGGGCGCCAAGGGCTTTTATATCCAGGTATTGAATTTGATCGATGACGTGCTGGGTTTGTGTGACTGTGAGAGTTACGGGATTGTGTTTGGTTGCTCGTACACTTTTTAGTCACTTTGCATACTTGTCCGGCTAGGGTCTGGTTAGATAAAAACCATCATCTGCATGTTGGTTGATTGCCTGCATATTCTCTCACTGCATCGTAGCAACGCCTCTACGCACTGTATTTGGTTGATCGCATTATCTGTGCTCATACGAGTGCACGATTGTTCGGCTGCATACGAGTATAGAGTTGTGCTCACCTTGTACCCTAATTGATGAGCTTACTCACTACTATTACACCTTACACACTGAGCACGCCAACGCCACAACACTGCAATGACGATGAACTAGATGAAGATGATGAAGTTCTTCGGTCCAAACTGAAGATCCACTTTGCCAACTTCAACACTGCTGCATGTGATGTCCTGCAAGTGCACATGGTTTAGCTGTACCTTTTCCCAAGTAAGAGTATCGATCCCATAGGAAGCACATGAATCGATCTTTCATCCTTTGGATGTCGCAAATAGTATGCCTGTAAGTTCTGAGCGATCCAAAGCAGAAGTACCATAATGGAAATGATGTGGCAAGTGTTGGGGAACGCAGTAATTTCAAAAAAATTCCTACGATCATGCAAGATCTATCTCTAGGTGATGCATTAGCAACGAGAGGGAAGAGTGTTGTCTACGTACCCTCGTAGATCGAAAGTGGAAGCGTTTCAATAAAGCGGTTGATGTAGAACGTCTTCGCGATCCAACCGATCCAAGTACCGAACGTACGGCACCTCCGCGTTCAGCACACGTTCAGCTCGATGACGTCCCTCGTACTCTTGATCCAGTTGAGGCCGAGGGTGAGTTCCGTCAACACAACGGCGTGGCGACGGTGATGATGATGCTACCGGCGCAGGGCTTCGCCTAAGCTCCGCAACGGTATGATCGAGGTGTGTAATTGTGGAGGGGGGCACTACACACAGCTAAAAGATCAACTTGTGTTTTCTAGGGTGCCCCCTGCCCCCCGTATATAAAGGAGGGAGGGGAGGCCGGCCAGCCCTCCTTGGTGCGCCCCCAAAGGGGGAATCCTACTAGGACTCCAAGTCCTAGTAGGTTTCGGAGAGAGGGGGGAAGGAAGGAGAGGGAGAGAGGGAGAAGGAAAGGGGGGCCTTCCCTTGTCCTATTCGGACTCAAGGGGGGGCAGCCCTCCTGTAGCCCTCCTCTCTCTCCACTAAGGCCCATCGAGGCCCATTAGTTCCGGGGGGGGGTATAACCCTTCGAC